TAACAATTGTGAATAGGAGATGTAAAGGAGAAGTAAAGGCAAGAGTAATTAGCATTACAAGTTCTAGACAGGGAACTAGAAAAAAGTCAAAACAGAGCAATTTTCAAATGTTCATATGAGAGTCCATAAACTCTAATTCAATTTCTTTACTTGAGATAGGACTATTTATACTTTGTTTTTGCCAAATACTATTGGTAAACTTGTAATCTGAGTCTTTTAAGGAATTCATTCATTTTATATACCTTGTCACAATTGTTAAAATAACATTGTTCAAGCCAAGTTTGGTGACATATGCCCCAAATCCCAGCACTTGGGAAGCTGAGTAAGGATTGTGACATAGAGGCCAGCCTAGGATGGAAAGCAAGACTCTGCCTCAAAAAAAGAAAACCAAAAATAAGGTTGTTCATAATATTGCCTTATCAACTTTTAATGTCTATGGAGTATGTATTGATGTCTCATCTTTAATCCTGATATTGATAGTCTGTATCTTCCCCTTTCAAAACCAAATCAAGCTAAAATTTCATCAACTTCATTAACCTATTGAAAGAATAAGTTTTGCTTTCACAGTTTTGTTTTGTTTTCTATTGTCTGTCCTTTTTCTATTTCAGTAACTCCTACTCTGATCTGAGGCCAGAAGAGGGCATCGGTACCCCTGGAACTGGAATTACAGATGGCTGTGTGCTGAAAATCTCCAGTCCCCAACCCAAGTCTTCTGCAAGAGCAGCAAGTGCTCTTAACTACTGAACCATCTCTCCAGCCCCAGAACATTGATTTTTAAACTATTCTTCTTTACGAATTCAATCACTAAAAAAATAAATGACCCTCTGAGAATCGCTTCAACTGTACCCCTTCAATTTTGATGTTGTAAAACACTGTCATTATTCAGTTCAAGACATTCTCTAATTTCTTCTTTCATCTTGGAGTCATTTAGTAGTACGCTGTTGGATTTTAATGTACTTAAAGATTTCTTGTGATCACTAATTTCTTTCTGTTGTTGCTTTTGTTTTTGTGAGACAAGGTCTCACTGCAGCCTAGGTTGTCTTAAACTTGCAGTGTTCTTTCTGCCTCAATTTCTAGAGCACTGGGATGACAGGTGTGAGCCTGGCTATGGTCACTGACTTCTAATTTAACTCAGTTGTGAACAGAAAACTTACTGTTGAATGATTTCCATTCTTTCAAATTAATAACCCTAAAGCGTAAAAAGGACTTAATAAAGACCTGCCTTATAGCCCAGGAAAGGGTCTCTCCTAGTGAATGTTTACCACCAAACAACACTTGCTGTTACTGATACACTCTACAGGTATCAGTTATGCCAGCTGGCCGGCTGTGATATTAAAATTATTTATATCCTAGCCGGGTGTGGTGGCACATGCCTTTAATCCCAGCACTTGGGAGGCAGAGGCAGGCGGATCTCTGTGAGTTCAAGGCCAGCCTGGTCTACAGAGTGAGTTCCAGGACAGCTGGGGTTATAGGGAAACCCTGTCTCAAAAAAAGACCAAAAAAAAAAATTTATATCCTTACTGACTTTCCATCTATGTGTTCTATCAATCACTGAGAAGAGTATCTCCAACAATATTTAATTAGTGTATTTCTCCTTTCAATTCCATCCAATTTTGTTTCATGTTCTAGGGGGCTCTGTTTACAGATGAGTATGTACTATTTTTACACACTGTCCAACTTTTTCTCCAGCAACAGCCCTCACCTTAAAGATCTATTTTGTCTGCTATTGATATAGCCAATCCCACTTTTACTTATTTTCATGGTTTGTCATTATCCACCATTTAGTCATTTTGTGTGTTCAATGTTTTTCTCTACGAACAACTAGTATTGGGTTGCTTTTGTACCATCTCATAAACTCTACCTTTTGGGTGGCATGTGCAGACCATTTCCAACTCACATAACTATTTATGTATGGATAGGTTTTTATGTTGATCTGTGTTTCCTAGTCATCTTGTTTGCTCCTTTGCTCCTTCTATACAGCCACCTTTTGTTTAAACAAAAAAAATTAGCATCTAATTTTTATTCTACTATTTAGATTTAAATTTACTTGCTCTAAAGATTACAATGTGCACTTTTTAAAAAATGTAAATACATAATACATTATGTGACTATACAATAAGTAAGTTCCAGCAGATCTATCTTCCTTGATTACTGTCTTAGTTTGTTCTTCATTGCTGTGACAAAACACTCTGACCAGTACCAACCTGGGGAGGAAAGGGTTTATTTGTCTTACATCTCCCAGGTCGCACGCAGTTCATCAGGGAGCCCAAGGTAGGAACTCAGGGCAGGAACCTGGAGGCAGGAGCTGGAGCACAGGCCATGGAGGAACACTGCTTACTGGCTTGCTCCCCTGGCCCCTGCTCAACCTGCTTTCTTATGCAA